TGTCCGTGAGTCGCGCGTCGATAGTTTAGTGCACTAACACTATCGACGCGCGACTCACGGACAGGTTTCCGTTCAACCGTAATGTATGATTGGCCTGTTTTGAACCTTTTTATCTAAAAAAAACTACTGCTCGGAACGAAAAATGGCAAATAACTTTTTAATTTATTTTTTCGACGACATTCTTAATTGCTATGGTATTTTGATTCGCGAATTTCAGGACACCCTGTATATATATATATATATATATATATATAATATTAAATATTGTAAGTAGTAAATAATCAAAGGAATATACATGCCGATATGATTATTAATTAATAATAAGCATTAGAGTTAAATTCAATTTTTTCATATTTCTACTCCCATTACTTTTAAATTTATAATACGTTTTATTTACATATACTTTTTCATATTAATAATACTATTACATTTCCAATTTTTAATACTAAAAATTAATCCTGTAATGTATCTAAGATTTTTTTATTGTGTCAACCAGATTAAATAGTAAAATACGGAACAACTTATAATTATGTGTTCGTTATAACCACAGAGCAATTGTTAAATGGCATTGTTGCTACAGTGACGATACCTATAGGTATATATAATAATAATTATTATACGTACACGTCACGAATATCATGGTCATTCCCAGTGAGAAATGATTCGTCAATCGATGTCGAAACGATATCGAATCGACATCGACACCGTCAAATTGACGTCAAATTGACGTCGAATCGACATCATTTCGACATCGATCGACGAATAATTTCTCACTGGGTTAGTCAGTCATTGCGAAGTAAATCTTGATGTCGATCATTTTATGACGTAAAATTCGTCATCTTAATGTCACATTGACGTTTTTGTGATTAACTTGTTCTACTTTGGTAGGGACGTCTGTATGCGCGCGCTTCACATGGATACATTTCTGATTGTGTGCGTTGTGAGTCGCTTTTGTTTTCAGTACAGCTGCTATGCAATACGCACCCTGATTGACGTAAAATCCGATTTCACTAAATTATAGATATCTAATGTCTGATTTAAAATCAGATAGATCTCAGATGAAAAAATTTAATCATGACTTTTTAGACTCTCAGATATCCAAGCGATATCTGAATAGTTTTTTGTATCAGATATTGAAATATTTAAATATCTCCCAGATATTTTTGTGACATCTTTGTCCCACTGGTAGCACAGTGAATTGGCGAAGCATTGGCTAAATATTTGAAAATTTATTTTTGATTCGACAGTGACGGATTGAGATTGGGATTAGATGGAAATTTGACCAATCACGGTAAAGTTTACTAATCTCAAGTCTAGTAACTTTTACTCTAACTGGTCAAATAGGGCTTTACGGGACATCCGTAGTTCACAGCCGGCCGATAGGAGTCTCCACCGTGTCCCCTGTTGACTCTTGACAGAAAGTAGGAAATCTATGTTGCAATTGTTGCAAAGGCGATCGAAAACGATACAACCATGGCGGACGCTGCTGCGCGTCAATTGCAATACGAATATAAAGCGGTTTGTACATCTTATCTTTTATTGTTGACTCTTCAGCAACGACATAACAGCAACTTCGAATTGTCTTCGCATGCTGATTTTTATTTCTAACGTCCGTTAATCCCGTTATCCATTTGTTCAATGACGCTTGCGACATTGCGGTTATGGTGTATGATCGCGTTAACATTACGTTATATTGCGCTAATGTTTGCAGAATTCCAATCTCGTTTTACAAGCCGACGTCCGGTTAATAGAAAGACGTAGCCGAGATGAGGCCACCGGCGAGGTTATGTCCCTCGTGGGCAAGTTGGACGGCACACGTATGGGCGATAGAGCCCAGCGCACCAAACCCGGGAAGGCGGAAGAGAGAAAAGTCAAGTGAGTCTGTTGCAGATTAGTAGTCGGGGTTTAACCCCCGATTTTCGTACTAACCCTCATATCCGAGGACCAAGCTAAAGACTGTACCCACTGTGGACTGCAGTAGGTTTGTGTTGCTCGCACTTGTGTTGCGCTGAAGCCTGATCAATGTGCTCTTCGCGTCTAAAAACGTGCTATTTTATAGCCAGCAAACTCGTTTAAAAAATCAGGTCCTGAGTTGCATCTCAGTTCAATCGTAGTGTGAATTTTCTGATAAGTTCTGTTAAGGCCTGTGTCCACGATGCTTTGTCCTAGTTTTAGCTTCGAGAAACGTGTAGCCAATCAACCTGCAGCCGTTCCGTAAAAGCTGCAAATTGATTGGCTACGCATTTCTCGGAACTAGAGCTTGGACCTAGTTCTAGCGTCGTAGACACAAGCCTTTGCAATTCAATAATGCGGTGTATAAAAAAAATATCACGTCATACGAAAGTCGTGCAAAGTTGATATATTTGGTATTTCGTAGGCGACAAAAACGCGACGAGGCGCAATACGATTTCGCACGTATGAAAGGAGCAACGTTGCTCTCCGAGGGCGTGGATGAAATGGTTGGTAT